AAAGACCTGGAGGTAGATCATGGGGTGGGGGACCAAAAATTAATACCAATATTCCTACAAATATATAATAGTAAGGGAGGCTGGCTGTAGGGGTTCAAGGCTTGGGGAACGGAGGAAAAAGGATGGCAATGATATGACCGGTTTTCCAAAATTAGGGGAGGCTCCCTACAATAAGGATTACAGTATTGGGGGGTCGATATTGGGTCACCCTATTTTCGGAAACTACCATATAATACTTGCCACTATTTTCGAGCACCAACAATGTTCTTTGATGTTTGAAGCAGAGGAGCTGCACCATGTGAGAAGTCCAGACAGAAAGCCCTGACAACAGACGAAGCTGGCCTTGAAGCCCTGAACCGTTGGAGCCTCAAATCCGTAAACCCTAAAACTCCGAAGTCCCCGAAACCATAAACCTTAGACCCCTAATCTCCTGAACACTTAAGTCCCCTACACCAAGCCTCAAATCCCTAAACCCTAAACCCCGAAGTCTTCAAAACCATAAACCTTAGACCCCTAAAACCCCTAAACCCCAAACCCCCAAGTCCCCTACACACCAAACCGCAAATCCCGAAACCATAAACGCTAAACCCTACACCCCACACCCTAAACGCATAAACCCCAAACGTGACCAGAGCAAGCTGCTACGCCACCAAAAGATCCACCACCATAGAGCAGTACCAGTCGAGCCCAGAGAGCCTGTAGAATGGCACAGGGTTTGTGGTTTAGGGTTTAGGGTTTTCAGGCTTTAGGGTCTAAGGTTTACGGTTGATGGCTTTCAGGGTTTCCCAGGATTTGGGGTGTAGCGCTTTCACCGTTTGGGTTTTTGGGTGTGGGGCTTCAAGACTTTGGAAATAATCGTGTAAGCCAAAGGGAAGAGTAGTATGGTTTCATCTAACAAGCCTTTGTAACATCTTACTTGCCTTCATTAAAGGGAAGAATCCTCTGAAGTCATACCCAGCTGTCCTGGATAGTGAGAGAGGCAGAGTTGGCATTGAAGTCTCCGGCCAGGAGAATGGTGTCACCTTCATGCTGGCAAATGGCATGAAGCAGCGGCAACAATGGACGCTGAAACAGAAGCCAGAGTACCACGTGGCAATCAGCAACAATAATGAAAGGAATAATGGCAAGAATACTGCAATCATTCCTTCATCCAGGACTCAAGAAGCCTTGAAATCATTACCCAAACCAGGCGCCCGTGCCTGGTTCGGAGCTGTTTCGCATGACTTCAATGAGGTTGTTGGCTATGGAGTCGCCACCGCAATCCTGAGTTTCTCTTACGTTTTGGGATGGGCTTTGGGGCTTTAGCTTCTGTGTTTGGCTTGAGAGGTTTTAAGGGTGACGAAGAAAACGAACCCGTGAAACTTGATGCAAGCTTGATCGGGAATCCCCTCCGGAGTTCACCTCCAGGGGTCCATGGTGGTTGGCAAAGAGCAGCTTTCCTCAGAGCATGCTGAGATGAGGGAAAAGTTTATGGTGTGAGTCATAGTCTAGCACCAGCAACAGGGGGAGAGTAGAAGCAGCAGCAGGAATAGTAGGAGTAGCATTAATAGCAGCAACAGTAGCAGAAAGGATGTCTCCATCATGATGTTGCTCTTGTTGCAGCAATCATCTGAGCCACCGTGGCAGCAGCCGCAGCAGCAGAGTGCAGTAGCTTTGCGCCAGTGGTAAGTGTACAAGTTGAGTGTGAATCCGGGTCAACTTGGCAGCCTAGTGACATTTACAATGATGATCCAACTCGTATGACATGGCACTACAATAGCTCTTGTTTCCGCGCTGCTTTGCCGACAAGACGCTGCCAGTGACTCCGTGCTGCAACCGCACCCACACTACTCCACGACGTCCATAGTAGTGGGACTTCATGTCCTGTAGCCCAGTCTTCTTCCGTCTAAGGAAGCAGAACCAAGAATGCTCATGAATACAAAACCATACAAGGAAGTAGAGTACGGCAACCACTGACTCTGTGGCCTCTCATATCCCTTCACTATCTCACTTGATTGGTGCACCTCTGAGAAGAGCATCTTGCCAATTGAAAATACATGGAATAGCAAGGAAGGCTACCAAGGCTTGCTGAAGCATGTAGAGGTTTATCAAGCTTTCTGTTGGATCTTCTGCTTTCTTGTGCAGTTGCACTGACTCCATTATGCAACGAGTCCTCCCCGACATCCACGTTCCCACTGGCCAGTAGGTTCCACACACCCTTTCGGTAGGCCAGGCACACAGCGTGGTGTCCTCAGGCTAAAGCACATACTATCAGGATTATATCACCTCTTTCTTAGCTTATGACATATACTGCGTAGATGTATATACAGGTCCATGCTATGCCATCTATTGTCTGGCTAGCTGCTACGAGCATCATTCTTGTCATAGGTAGTAGCACGGTTGCTCACGCCATCATCATCATCATCATCATCATCATACACCACGCAAAACTGCGCTCTCTACAGACCTGTTCAAGCTTGCTAGCCGCGTTGATTAAGGTCCTCGATGTCTCGAGCTGAGATGGTCTTCATAGGACTCCATGACTTGCTCTTCAAAGGATTCAATGGCTTGCATAACCAATGCAATAAGCAGTGAAGATGCTACCCACAAGAGGGTGGCAAAGATAACAACAGTCAGTAGCATCAGCACAAGACTTCAGAAGCACTGACCAGAATATTCTGACAAGAAGTATACTATCAATAGCCACAGCGGTAGCTTGGATACTGCGCCGCACAGCGAACACTGCAACTTCAGATTGATATGATACGAAAACCGTAAACCCTGAACCCTGAACCCTAAACCCTTCTCTGCGTGGGTTGCAGGCCTTGCAGCACCTCGTAGCTTTCCAGGAGGCCGACCTAGGACCCCATAGAGGTTTGCATCTCATAAATCTCAATGTCAGGAATACACAAAGAGACTATAGGGAGGATTTTGGAAGGTTTGGGAGGGCTTGATACAAGTTGGCAGGGTTTGAGGAGTTTGGGAGGAGTGCGGAAAACTTTCAGAGTTGGGCAGGATTTGAAAAGGTGATAAGGTTGGTTCGTGGCCTCGCCTCTCAGTATCTCAGTCAGCGGCAGCCGCTGGATGCTCGTAAACAACAAAACAAAGACATGAGACCCAGAGCCTTAAACTGGTTTGCTGTTAAGGAACAAAATTAAAGTACTATATTGGGGAAACCCTGATATTTACTGTATATACCTAAATTTAAGTTTATTAACAGCAACCCAGTTAAACCCTGAGGCCATGAGCCCAAGCATCTCGGCTGCCCCTGAATCACAGTGGACGCAGTAGTAGTCCTGTATGGGTATACCAGCGGTAGTCGCACACTCAAGAGTGATACCGCTGTGTGCTTTGCGTGCTTGTTCTGGCCCAAAAGCTCTGATACACCAGAATCCTGCAGTAGGTGCACACACCAAAGCTGCCCGCGTACCCGATTACATAGGGACTATATAGCGATAAGGGAAGCTACTACAGAATTATGAGAGGGTATTAATTTGGGCTATAATGGGATGGTATAGTATAGTGGTATCTTCTTGCGGGCGCCATCTGTTCGCCGAAACCTGTACTCGCAGCTAGGGTTCCCAACACCATGACCCGGTCTACCTTGTGGTGCAAAGATGGCCTGCAGCCTCGAATACTTAATTAAGTCAGGTCCATGGACAAACAGCCTTACGAAAAGAGATCCAGAAACCGCCCAGTGGGCTTGTCTCTGTCATCATTCGGTAGATCATGGCCTAAACTACCTCTCATAGAGCCTAAAACCTTGTTGCTTGAACTCCTAGATAAAAACCTAGAAGCCTTACCCTGATCCCTTGCACCCCCAAATGTTAAATTCCTACGTATTCCTGGAAAGACTTTTCAGCGGGGCGGAGATATGTATGTATACTGTGCATATGAGGGTCTCTGACGGTTCAACAGTATGTGTTCCATATTTCACTTTTTGCAGCCACACAGCCGGTTCTAGCACTCGGACGCCGCTCTCGCACTCCTGAAAGCCCATGACGTCGAACAGCCCGTCCTGCACCGCAGAGAGTTTAGACTACAGTTCTGTCATTGCTGGTTCTTGATGGGAAGGCTGTCTCTTGGCTTGTGAGGAGTAACCGTGTAGAAGTCTATAATGGACGGAAGCCTGGTCCTTGAATTCGGATGCGGCGCCCTGTTATTAAGGGTTGTTACAGACACATGCATGGGCTTTACATGCCTGGCCCAAGTCTAGAACCTGGGAATGAAGGAATGGAAAAAAGAATGGAAACTACAATGATGGGTTATAGGGACTACTATAAGGATCCATTCCTTCATTCCTAGCCACAAAGTACTACAACTCGCAGATTTCGAGCTATGAACGCGTCCTCTATCGTCTCTGCCTTGATGAGGTGTCCTGCGCTGTCGCCATTGCCTGGGCACCGTGAAAGAAAAGAGTTCGTCAACATCATGTTGTTTGGGAGTTGGGGGCAGCATTGGTTAGGGATTCTGCCATGCTGCTGGCTTAGTTGTCAAATCCTCAGATGGTCACGTTGCCTGGCTTAGCCCTACCGACTGAAACTTGCAGTCAGGCTGCCACGCCGGACCCCATACCTGAGGGTCTAGGGTTTAGAAACTCATTTCGTCGGCCAAATAACAGAAATCTCTTGCTCAAATGGCCGGGAGACAGGTTCCACCAGAAGAGGTTGTAGCTCAGAACCTGTCAAAAAAAAACAGGCATGGAGTGGATGGGATGAAGGTGCCTAAGCACAGGAATGAAGGTTAGAAATTGGATTTGAGCCTCGGTCAAGGCTCAGGACCTCCGAGCCTAAACGCCCCAAGACAGAGGCCCAAAGCTGTGTCCGATGAAGCACGGAAAACTCGGAAACTCCCCCCTGAGCGTAGATGGACTGGCAGAGTCCCTGTCACAACTGAAGTCCCCAACCCTGGATCCCAAACACAAGGCCTCAAAACCTCTAAACCCCTAAACCCCTTAGAATCCTCAAGTCCCAAACCCGAAGCCACCCTAAACCCTAAACCCTCAACCAAATGCCTACAAACTCCAAGCTAAAGCCTTGATGGTCATGCTTCCGCCCTGCAGGGACGGGGCCAAAAGGTTCCCTGAACGCGGCCAGTCGCACCACTTGGGCCGGAGCCTCGGTTTAGGTTTAGGGGTATGAGGGGCATATATGGGGCTTAGGGTTCGGGCCCGGGCTTACAGGAGATGGGGATTTGGTTAGGGGTTTCGGAGGTTTGGGGTTGGAGGTTGGGAGTTTTAGGGCTGTTCAGGGCTCAGTGTTTCTGAAAGCTGGGGATTCTCGCCGTTGTTACAAATAGTACTGCTACATGTGTTCCTGCTCGTTTGATGGCACATGCAACTAGTCACACATCTGTCGCGCATACTGCAACCCAACTAGCGAGGTGCCACTGAGAATTTGTAGTCTTGTAGCTGCATCACTATTGCCATCAATACTGGAATTGGAACTACTGCCATTTCTGCTGCTGTTGCTTCTACAATGGCAAATGTGATAATTCTGCTCATGGCCATAATCGCTGTGACAATGACCCGCATGTCAAATTCTACGGTGCAGTGTATTCTCAGCTCAGTTATTGATGATTTTCACTCTCAGAGCCACGTTCCGGATAGGGGTGCCCATACAAAAGTTCACGGTTCAGTGGGGTATCATGGCTGTTGTGGGCTGAAATCTGATCTGGAAGGCTGTCGACCACACGCAGAATACGGCCCCGATTATTTGGTAGCTTCCCCAAATAGGGAATCCCAATATAAACTCCAAAACAGTGTAACCCTGACTACTATAAGGAGCCCCAAAACTGTACCTGTAATTTTGGGAAACCCCCTCGTGGGATCATTGAAGAAGTCCCATCTCCCATCTTCTGGCGCCGCTCTATTATAACCCATTATATGAGTTTCCATTTTTCCATTATCTCACTATATTCTCATATTGTAATAAAATGGTTTCCATTTCATTTTCCACGATCCCAATATATTCCTATATTGTAATATAATGGTTTCCATTTGATTTTCCATTATCTCAATATATTCTCATATAATAATATAAATAGTTGCCATTCTATCTTGCATTATCTCAATATATTCTCATATTATACTATAACCGTGTCCATGTTATTTTCCATTTTCCCCAATATATATCCATATTATAATATAAGAGTTTCCATTTGATTTTCCATTACATCTCAATATATTCTCATACTATAATATCATAATTTCCATTTTATATTCATCATCCCAATATCCGCCGACCCCGAAGCGGGCGTCGGCGTCAGTGAAGACCCTTTGCCCCTCCTTCACTTGACTGGTATCCTCGTTGCGGCTATGAAAATCAACATGTCAAGGCTCCCGCCGCCCCACTCACCGCCCTCACCACCCCCACCGCCCCCACCGCCCTCACCGCCCTCACCGCTCCCCACCGCCCACCGCCCCCACCGCCC